CCCAACTTCTTTTGTCTGGTTCAGGTCACATTTTTCCTTTGTTTCCTTAACGACTTGCTTCGTTCTTATCTACCTCCCCAAAGGGGTCTCATAGACAAGATTCCTGGCTTTTGTCCTCTCTGCTTACGTGCCTGCTTCATCTTTTGGTTATGGCAGCTTCACCCTGGTCTCACAAATCCCTTCTGTAATTTGGATTGTACCAGACGTACATTTATTTTTATTGGTTAGTTTTTCCGGCATGTAAAAATACAGCCAGTGCACATGCAAGTCGACAGCTGAATTTATAAGGTAATATAGGGTGTTTCAATTAAACTCTTACAATCTTTGATTTTGCTAATTTTGGGAATACATTTGATAAGATAGAATGGCCTTTCTTAATAAAGATGTCTTAAAAAAAAAAGATGGAAAATGTGTTTTTCACCTATAGAGCTGCTGTAAGTAAACAACCTAATGTAAGAATCAGATTTAATGGTATAATAGCAAGGCAATTTTTAAAATCAATAAGGCTATTTCTTCTTCTTTTCTTTAGTATGTCAATAGGAATACTTCCATTTCAAAATAAGGATAAAGAAAAAGCACTCGAGTTGAGCAGATCTTAATTTATTTTCATATATAGCTGTTCCCTAGTATCTTCATCTTTCATCTTCCATATGAAAACCTGCTTTTGTCTATTCTTGAAAGATAACTCAAGTGTCTGGTAGCCTTCCCCAATTCAGTGCCATCCCAGTGTGTTGCACTGGAATACACATCTGGCCATGGCCATCCTGCCTGGGGACAACGAAAGCTGTTTGTGCCTCACTGCAAATGCCATTTTTTAAAGTAGTGAAATATACATCGCTAATAAGGTAGTGAGAGGTTAGCTGTGACTGAAGGTAAATTTATAACTATTGAAACTTGCTTATACTGAATTATTCAAATGATAGCAATTATTAGTAAAAGAAGGAAATGCAACTCCTTTAGGAGAATAAATGTATGTGGCTGAATTGATTGAATCGAATGGATTTTTTTTAAAACTTCCTTCTCTGTTGACAAAGGAATGGGAAGCTCTGCTTTGAACGCAATGAACATCCTCATGATTTTGGAAAAGCTAAAAGGAATTCAACAGCTGGAATCACAAAAAGACATGATCAACTGGGTACTGCAGGTAACTAAGGACCACAAGTGAATAAATGAATCAGGAATTGGCAGGGTGGGGCTTGAGGGTGCTGTGACCTATATTATGGTCTTCCCCCATAAAATAAAATAAAGCAAAAGAGTCTCCATAGAGCCCAAGTGGAGTAAAACAATTAAAGATGAGTGCATTCCAACTACAGAAGAAAGATAGCAAGAAGAAATAGCATTGGCTATATTGAAATGGTTACTAGCAGAGAATGCTTTGGATCCCCATACACTTCTCGCAAGGCAAACTAGAAATATCACATGTGCTGCATGCAGTTTGTTTGTGTTTAACTATTAAATCTGTGTTCACAGATGTTTGAAACGATAAAATGCTTGAGAGAGAAGTCTTATTTTCCCACAGCCATCATTGCACCTATGTCAGAATCTACAAAGGTTAATGAGGTAACCATGAAATAAGGTAGCCCTAGATTCTTAAACATCTAAAAGTGATTAAAGGTCTTACAGATTTTATCAGTAGAGGACAAGGTGAATGGATAAAGGTTCTCATTCCTCTACCTTGTGTTCTGCTTCTTGTACTGTATGCTTTGCTTTCAAATCCTTCAGCAACTACTCCTAATAATTGCAGTCACCATTCTGTACCCCATGGAATTGTATTTTTTCTTTTCCTGAAAATTGCCTGTGGCACTTTCATCCCTCCAAGGATTGTTGGGAACATGAACTTTCACTTTAGTCTGAAGAGGCAGTCTTTTGATGTCTGCTTTTTGAGTTTCAAGCTCTTCTCAACATTTGATAGTGCTTAGAATGCTGAAGGCAGTACTGTGGAATGTTTGGGGATTTGTCAAGATTACCTGAAGGAAATGCCAACTTTTATTTTATTTCAGTGGTTGTCTTGAATAATACAGAAGGTGTTTATTCTGTTAAATCAGATGCAGAGAATTCAGGAGAAAGAGAAGGCTGAGAGGAAGAGAAAGGCAGAAGTAGCCCGATTACATCGCCAAAAGATCATGGCTCAGATGTCTGCTTTACAGAAAAATTTCATAGAAACTCATAAGCTCTTATATGAAAACACGCAAGAAACACCAGGAAGAGATGTTATGGAAGTGGAGAGGTAGGAAGAGGGAATAATATATTGGCTAATTGCAGAACTTAAACAAGTTTGGACCTGGTTAGTACTTGGATGGGAGATCCCAGGAAACCCCTAGAAGACACTAATGGCAAACGGTTCCTGTGCCTTTATGCTTTCCCAGGGTTAGCTAGTTACACTGGACACAGTTAACAGCTCTCTTAAAGGGGCAACGTACCTTTCTGGATCCCTTCCTGTGTTAGCTGCTTAGGAGATAACACGGGAGAGACACACATCCCCAGAGAGGAGAAAGTGATGCTAGTTCCTGGGGTGGAAGAAGATTGGTGCAGACCATGCCTTTCACATATTATAGGATAGATCATAACGCGAGTAGTATCCATGCTAAAATGTGAGGCATTTTTGGCAAAGCGGTGCCTCATCAGATTATATCTAAGAAGCTGAGAGCAGGCCTCAGTCTTTTCATAAGAGAAGGGAGTGATGGCATGCATGGATTTTGAATGTATGTCAATGTATGAGCTCTTCCATCCCTGCAAGATAGAGTTTAATCTGTCTTAATCTGTCTTAATCAGGAAGGATCTACTTCTGTACTACTACTTGTGCTGGCTGAATAGGCTTTTGTTTAAAACCTGAGAGTGCTGAAATTATTTTTAAATATTAAATGAAGAAAGTTATTTCATCACAGAACCCAGACAAGCATTAATAGGTTTCTGTGATCACAATGCTGTTGTATTACTGTTCAGATTTACTCGGTTCAGCTGCTTGATAGCTGCTGCATTAAGCAGGTTTTAATTGAAGTTCAGGTTGAGGATAGAGTCATTTGTATATAGTTTTAAAGGGAATTTGATTTTTATCTAAAAGTAAATTATGAGTAATTATTTTAGTGCTCTTTGGCTGGATCGTTGACCAGAAATCCACTGATTTGAACCTTGTATCTTAGGTTCATACTCCCACATTATCATGTCAGAATTGCTTTGGGGCCCAAACGAGGCCTGTCTGTTACCGAAAAGGAAAGGCTGACATGTATCCTGTGTCAGGAAGAGCAGGAAGTGATGCTAGAGAGTGCTGCCATGGTTTTATCTGCCTCTGTCCAGAAATCCACTGCCTTAACCCAATGTAGAGGGAAAATACTTGGACTTGCAGGAGGTATGTATTTCCTGTCTTTTAGAATCTTACCTGTTAAGCCAAGTTATAAAATGAAATATTCTGTTGTGAAACCTTTTGGAAAGTTTTATTATCTCAAAGAAAAGCCATAGAATGGAGTTTTAGTAGAAAGGGAACATACAGTGGTACCTCGGGATACGAACTTAATCCGTTCCGTGACTCTGGTTGCAACTCGAGTTGGTCTCAAGTCGAG